AAACCAAATAGACAGCATCAATAAAGCTACATGGCGCTAAGTGACTCTTGATATATAGTTGTAAGAGAAGATACAAAATAGAATCAATAATGCCCCAAGAAAACAAATTGAAGGCTAAAACTAATCAAGCATTAGCAGATTGAAACGATACTACAATTTAAGATACTACAGTTTAAGATGATTATCTTAGCATCTGGCTTTAAGAATAGCATTGGAATCAAAATGAAGAAATCTTTTGCAATTACGATATGCAGGTCAATATATTCTTTGAAAGCTAATAGGCGTAGGAAGTGTTCGAAATATCTACTGGAGGGAAATAATTGTCTATTTTATGAAGAAAAGATGAAGCAATGGAAAAGTAAAAGCACCAAGAACATCTGATTTGTGATTCAAGATTTAGACTTTTAGCAGGAAACATTTTACAAACAAGTGGAGAATTGCTTGATACCGTCAATAGAACGTTCCTCCTATCAAAAAAAATAAATAGTTGTCACATTTTGCTTTGTTAAAATGAAATTGAGTGGTCATTGATTGCACGTTAAATGTATTCTTTCGTGATTTTTATATGCAACTAATAGTCCTTGGTGTATTTTCTGAATTCCTAAAAAGAATGAACACTTCTGCTCAAAAGTAGGTTACTTGACCTTAGGTAAGCGAGGAGTGAACTAAATTAAAACTGAGGGAGTATCAATTTTGCAAGTATTCCTGGTTGTCATCTTTTGCACCTAAAAATAAGGACTAAGGAACCTTGATGGAGCAGCTGATTGCAAGTTGTATGGGGCTCTTCTTGCTCCTCTTTTAACTGACATCTAAAAGCGATGCACTACAAATAGAGACAAACTGCTTGAAACATAAAAGATCAAAACTTGGCAACTGTTTGTCCCTGTGTTCAAATCTATAAGCCTGACCTAGCACCATGGAAACTTATTCGGCTCTCTTCATCTACTAGGAAAGTTCTTGCATTTGTTAAAGAATCACAATAAAATGGTGGAAAATATCATTGCTAATAGCAGAATGATTCGACTTTGCAACTTAAGGCGTGATATTTGCTTGTGGATTTTTCACGTGATATTTGCTTGTGGATTTTACATTGTCTTCAGTTTTTAGCTTAACTTATCAAAGTTACTTGCTGGTTTAGTTTTGATATCAATTCTGATTCGTTGTTCTGATTTTTCCCTTCCTGTGCTTAGGGAAATAAAAGAAGTGCAGGCTTTACTGATGAAGAAAGACAGTCCTTTGAAACAAACTTTTTAAACAAGGGGTTTGTAGATACATTCAGGAAGCAGCATCCTGGTGTCGTTGGTTATACTTACTGGGGTTACCGCCATGGTGGACGTAAAACTAATAAAGGTATTTGAACATTTTTTCTATTGTGGTGCTATGTAACTTGGTCCTCTGCTTCCTTGGGCCGTTCCTATTATGACAAATTAAGAAACCAGAAATATACCTCAGTTTTTCCTCAATATACTCTTCTCCATAGCCCCTAAAATTAGATATTTTCGTGTATCTCATTTTGTGTTTTACCGTCTAGTGAAATGAGAACATTGCTCATTTGATAGCGTGATTGTGAAAGTTATACTCTGTCCCACCTAGGTAAGAGGAGTTTGAACTCCTTACATCAATCTGCAATTTAGAAGAGCACTTGACTAGGTATTTGGGTCGTGATAATAGTTGTGTTTTCGCTTTTTACATATCGATCTGCTTAAACTACTCGTCGGACATTCTATTCCTCCAATCTCTCGCTACATGGTGGACTTCCGTATTTGTCACTCCTTGACAAGATAATTCCAACATCACATTTTTGTTAAATATCATTTGCAATTAAGGTTGTTGTTTCAGGTTGTTTGGCATAGGGTTTACTCTGACGTTTTCTGCATCTTTTCCCATCTGGGGTATAAAATTTCAGGATGGCGGCTCGACTACTTCCTTGTCTCAGAACACATTGCTGACAACGTGCACGACTCCTACATTCTGCCAGATGTAGATGGCAGTGATCACAGTCCCATTGGCCTTATCCTGAAGCTGTAGGTTCCGACCATCATTTTTGCTGATTCCAACATCTTGATGTTTTTCTGAAGATGGTACCATAGCAAAAAACGCGACGAGAATATTCTCAAGAGGCTATGTTGAGTAGATATTTTGCAGTTAAGGATTTGACATATAAATGGTGAATCCTGATTTTTGAAGTGGCATACAAGATCCTGGAGGTAGCACTGAGTAAAAATTTGGGATGACCATATCGTGTCATGTAATCCTGTCCTGCCCTTTTTTTTTTGGTTTAACCATATGTGTGCCTGGAATAGGTTGACCCGACTAATTCAGATTTGCGTCGTAGAAAGCCTACTATGTTGGTTTACCGCATCGTGTTTCATCTGGTGCACGGAACCACTGGTCTGAGTAACTTGGATTTGCTCTCTAGAAAGCCCACTTTAGGGGATTTAAGTGTTCCGTACCAAAGATGGTTTCATTTCTAGGACTCAAACCCGAGGCTTGACTCAAACCCGAGGCTTTTGGTTAAAGGTAGAGAAACTCTAACCATTCTACCGCTTCCTTAGTGTAATTCTATTATACAACTTATGGTTTCTTAAACATTATTACAATTATAAAGCTAAAAGAAGCAGGAAAGAGGAGTATTAATGTACAGTTAGCAATTATTGGTGCTTGTATTCTACAAAAAATATTAAAGATGGACATTGTCAAATGGAAGTTGTGTCGAAATTGGAGGAAGGCAGAAGTAGAATGGAACTTTAAACATTTCATATCCAAATATAATTTCCAGCGCTACTTTAGTGCCAACTATACCATTATTACAATTTTACATTGCCTATAAAAATAAAATTTCATTGCTTATAAATCCAAAAGCGTGGCTTAGTATTGGTGGACAACAATGAGGTTTCATGTTCAAATTCTATCTATAACTGAGACTTGTGAATTTTCAATTGCAATGGTCAAATGCCACTTATAAATTGCAAATGGAAAATGCGATGTATAAATGTGATTTACAAATTGCAATAAACCCACACATCTAGTTGTAATAGGAAGATCTTTGACAAATACGACTTATTAATTGTAACTGATAAATGCAACTTATAAATTGCTAGGCTATTGCCATAATTTCTACTCTTAAATTACAATTGTTAAACGCGACTTATACATGTTTTGCGGATATGGTTACATCTTGTTGCCAGTTTGGGAAGAGTATTTGCATCACTGATTCTGAAGAAACCACAGTAATTGCACCATTTTGTTTTGATTATTTTCTGTTATTGATTGCTTAAATGCCTTTAAGTATTAGCAGCAGATATTCAGTATAGGATCAGTAGCTGAGAGTAGAAAATTAAAAATATCAACATCCATTTGTCTATTGTCTTTGTTCTAGATATGTTTTTTCTAACAATATGAACAATTCAACTGATGTTGATCAGTAGTAACAATTGATCTGTTGGTATGTTTCCTGTCTTCCTCGTTAACAGTGGCGGAGCCAGAATTTTTACCAAATACACCGAAAAGTTAAGGGAAGTCAGTATATAGTAAATATATATAAAATAAAAAAAATTATCTAACAATACAGTGTAATTTTTTGGCGAAGGGGTGTCGACACCCCTTGGTTGAATATGGCTCCGCCACTGCTCGTTAATAGTTTAACTGGAACCGTAAGAGTTTGTAAAAGACTAGGACTTCTCGTAAGAGTTTGTAAGCAAAATGAGAATATCGTGTATAAATATAAAAAAAATATCATTGCCTTGCCGTTATAGTGATTTATTTATTTGTTCAGTTCTCCAAATATTTTGACCGCTTATGAAAAAATCTGTATTTATAATAAGACGAAGACGATTTATTAACACGTTAAGACATATACTCAAGACTATTGCGCTATTTGCACAAATTTTTGCTGGCCAGACGGCCAATACTTATTTTATTGTGATTGAAATAAACATTTTCTACATAACAAACTCTCACCACTTGATTCTACTCTATAAAGGGTTCCCATTTTCATATTAATGAAAAAACAAAGTTAGCCAAACAAAAATAAAACATCAAGAAAAAACAAAGCCCAAAAATGAAATTTTTTGGTTTTAGTCTAAAGAGGTTTTGGAAGAGAAAAAAATACCAAAGGTTAGAAGATGCAACATTAAGGGATAACAATAGGAAGAGGCATATTCATTTGAAGATGAAACATGCTCCCATTGTGAGAATTTTCGGTGCGAATTCGAATTTAATCAGGTTACAATGCGGATACGGAACACCAGATAGAAAACTCAATAAAAGTTTTGTTGCATATATAAACGCAATGATATGTTTGGCAGGAAGCAAGAAATGCAATATTTATAAAGTTCCAATGGTGTCTTCTTCGTATAGAAAAAATACAGTTGATGATAATAGGTTGATTTTGGAATTTTATAAAGGAATGGCCTCTGCTCGTTTGCTAGCATGCCCATTATTGGCTTGATATTTTCTTCCTTTTTTCTTTTCCAACTCTTCTGCTTTCGTGTAATCTCTTCTTCTTTTTGGTTTAACGGTTCAATGCTCAGAACTCATTGATCCGACTAATTTGGAATGATCGTCTTACGTAATCTACTATATTGGTTTTAGGCTTCTTATTTTATCCGGTACTCGAATTCACTAATGTGATTAACTCGGAGTTTATTTGGTCTGAAATTCACTAGTCTGACTAATTTGGATTGTATCGTAAAAAGTTCATCGTGGACGATTGTAGTGTTAGTTTCTAACGACGACTTTATTCTTAAGGCTCAAACCCGAGACCAGAGTATCATGTTAGCACACTTCTTGCTTGTGGTCTTCTGTCCAAGTTGTTTGACAAGATTAGCACAGTTCATGCTTCTACTAAAGGACTTGCTTCATCAGTCTAAAAAATCATATGGACCCCACATATGACAAGTTCAACCGACGTGTACAAATTCAATTGGTCCACTAAAAATCCCAAACCAAAAACAATTAAGTAAATAAGCAAATTATAAAAAGATCCAAAAGACCGCAAAATAAACACACACACACACACACACACAGAGTGAAAGATCCTCCGCCATGGCAGCTAAAAAACGGCCGTCAAAGTTGGCGCCGGCGACTGTCACCGCCGTAAATCCGCCGAAATCATCCATAAACAATCCACAACCTAAATCGGATGACTCGTCACCCATAGCGCCGGCTAAAGTTTCGTTAATTTTCAAAATCTCTTTAATATTCTTAATCCCGTACTTTTACTTAATATTTTATCACTATAAGATCGAATCGGAGCTCCGGCGATCGATTCTCATCAATGCGGTTATTAGTTTAATCGGATTCTTCGGAACGGTAACTATGATTCCTGTTGCGTCTAAGTATATGTTGAGAAGGGGTTTGTTTGGATTAGATATCAACAAAAAAGGCACTCCTCAAGGCTCTATCAAAGTGTAAGTTTCTCTTTTTGGATAGAAAAAGAAATTGAAGTTTAATTTACTTAAAGCTCACGCATAATTTGTGAATGCAGTAGTTGAATTTAGTACTGATGCGAATTTATTATACCTTCTATTTTGATAGTCCTTGTTTGAATTGTTTTGTTTATTAAGAGAAAGAAAGAATTTTGAAAGTTGTGGTCTAGAACAAGCTATAGATATTTGTATGACTAAATCATCTCATTAACGGTAGAATGGGAAGTATAAAGTTAAATCATTTCTAGATATAGAAAGATAATATTCTTTTTGGGATAGACTAAAAAGGAAAGAGTATTACATGAATAGGGAGGGATTGAAGTACTACATAATTGTAAATTTCAAACCTGTTGTATGATCTGCGTAAAGTCGAAAAGAGACATTCAATTTGAAAAGGAGGAAGTAGCATTTTGCCGAGCATATGTCCATCTAGAACCTTTTTTGTTTTTGCGAAGTAGAGGAAAAAAGATATTTTTCTGAATTGAGTGAAAATGTCAGACATCATTTTTAGTGATGAGAATGTCTTCTGGGACCGTTTCGGGACGGCTTAAAATGAAGGTAGGACTGTTCTTTTTCCGGGACAAGGGGAGTGATTTCTCAACTTAGTGAAGAAAGAGAGTTTTTATAGTTAAAAATCAACCTCAATTAAGTTTTGTAGTGGTACTCTGAAGCAATTTATGAGTGATCCGTATTGATTTAATGCAGACCTGAGTCACTAGGTCTTATTGTTGGGGGTGTGTTCTTGGTCGTTGCTATCTTGTTTCAAACTTTCAACTTCACAGCTGATTCAAATGTAAGTAAAGTTGCAAGCTTTGTGGGTTTTGGAGGTTTTTTATTGCTTGAGGTTGTCGAAGATGATCTGCTTGCATCTTGACTTTGAATTTGGCAGTGGCTTGTTGAGTACAATGCTGCATTATCTTCAATCTGCTTCATGATGCTGCTTGGTTTTGTGGATGATGTCCTTGATGTACCTTGGAGAGTGTAAGCATTTCTATCATATCTAAAAGGCTTTCTCTGATGCAACTGGGACTTTTGTAATCATTTCAGCTGAGATTCTTATGAAGTTCATATAATATTTGAAACAGGAAACTGCTATTACCCTCCATTGCAGCTCTTCCGTTGTTGATGGCATATGCTGGGCATACAACTATTATTATTCCAAAGCCCCTTGTATCATATGTTGGATTAGAGATCTTGGATCTAGGTAAGCAGCCTATGATTTCGTCATGCTTCTATATAAAGTCCTTTAGTTGGAGTTTACTAGATTTGCTGGAAGCACTCGAAAGTTTGAAATGCACATTTAACATGCTTAAAGTAGTCATTTCTTACATGGACATACTTTTTACTATTTCATACCTTCATCATCTCCAATTGTTTACTTCGACACGATTCTTCATTCTCTTTTGGTTTAACAGGACGGATCTACAAATTATATATGTGGCTACTGGCAATATTTTGCACAAATTCTATCAATATCCACGCTGGTATCAATGGCCTTGAAGTTGGGCAGACAGTCGTTATTGCAGCAGCTGTAAGCTAGAACTGTTCTCTGTATCAGTTTGACGATTGAAAGTCATCTAACGCTAGTGTATTACAGATTTTGATACACAACATCATGCAAATTGGAGCATCTGCCGATCCTGAATACAAACAAGCCCATGCTTTCTCTATTTACCTTGTTCAGCCAATGCTTGCCACTTCCTTGGGTTTACTTTCATTCAACTGGTAAAATCTCATCTTTGAATAACCTCAGAGTTCTCTTTCAGCAATATGTTTTACTTACTCTCTCCACTGTCATTGTAGGTATCCTTCCTCAGTTTTCGTTGGTGATACCTTTACATATTTTGCTGGAATGACCATGGCAGTGGCTGGAATCTTGGGTCACTTTAGGTACATCTCTTCTTCGTGCCTCTTTCTTGTCATTAAATTCAGCAGTGCTTCTGCTAGTCTGCTTCTTGAACCATTTGATTGCTTCCTTGCTGTCTTAGGAAAGAAAAGGTTGTCCCATTTTCCCTTGTCAGTTTCACTTTTCTCATAGTGACTCCAAGAGTGAATGGAGGCTGTCTGGCTAATGACTTGAAACCTAAGTTTTTCCAGTAAGTGACTGGAGTATTGTCTTTATTTAAAATATAAAAAAAAAAGTGACTGGACTATTGTGTGAGCAACACAAAAGTGGCACCAAAGGATGCTAGTCCTGTTCATGAAGGACTTACCAGACAAGCCTATACCAGGGATAAAGTACCCATATTTGAAGGGGGGGAAATTGAAGGATCTTTGGACTCACTAATCCATAAAGAAGTTCTCAAGAACCAGCTTTCAAAGAGGAGAATCACATTACTTCGCCCCTAAAATGCTTGTTATTCACGCATGCACGCCCACATGTTTATACAGTGTACTTTTTTTCGCAAAAATATGGTGAGAGTACAGTGGATTCTGCATAGACTTGTCCTTCCTTCAAAACTTAAAAGGGATATGGAACAACTAGTTTGTTCTTCTCTGGTCTTAGCTAATCAGACTATCTTCTCTTTTTGTTTTCTGCATCATTTGTCTTTCTTTCTGGACTCTTGAGAATGTAGTATTAGAGATGACGCTCTTCCCTTTGTCGTATATGCCCATATTTATGAACTACTTTTTCCTTTGAGCTCCAAAACCCCCACAGGATTAACTATGCGTGCTACAGATGTGAACACTAGTTTTCTCCCTCTTCCATTTTACATGACATGCATATTATTATGATGGTAGTAGAAGAAAACTGCGAATACTAGTTTTGCTGCATGTCGGTTTTATAGGGAATATGTGAATTGTTAATTGAAGTGTAATCTTAAAACTTGCCAAAATCATAGAATGGTATAACAGTAGAAGTACATCAAACGTCTTCAGATGTACCAAAATAGACACAGTTAAAGTATCACATAGACTGTGACAAAGCGAGTGTCACTATTATATGTGCTAATGACTTTCAGTTTCTATAGTTGTAGAGATATTTGTTTAATTTTCTTCATTTGAAACTTGAGACTAATGAGTTTAGTTTTGTCGATTTCCTTTCAGTGAAACACTGCTTATATTCTTTTTGCCGCAAGTCCTGAACTTCCTACTATCACTACCTCAGGTTCTCTCTCTCTTCTCTCTTCTCTCTCTCTCTCTCTCAATTAATTTTGGATCTCTAAGGACCCATTTTAGTCTCTTGAACTCCTTTCAGCTAGCTGGTATTATACCTTGTCCAAGGCATCGGCTACCTAAGTAAGTTCTCTAATTGCAGTTGCTCAAGTTTTGGGTTTCCAGTCCGTGTCTGAACTAACTAATCTTGGAACCTTTCAGGTTTGACCCTCAGACTGGCTTATTGACCGGAACAAATGATGGGACGCTAGTGAACTTTTTCTTAAGGCAATTGGGCAGAATGTCAGAACAGTCCCTTTGTGTTGTGCTACTGGTTTTCCAGGTAAATAACTTTTTCTTTCTCTTCTCATTTTTCCTTTTTACGCTTTTTCTATTTAAACCACATGGATTTTCAGTCACTTCCTGGTTCATCTGCAGTCATTGCCTGTTACCACAGATGATTGGTCTTAAATCACAAAAAGGGTGATATATTTTGTAGTTAGTTAACGTAGTTCCATCCGTTCTCCGGCCAAGGGTCTATCGGAAACAGCCTCTCTGCCCTTCCAGGGTAGGGGTAAGGCTGCGTACATCTTACCTTCCCCAGGGCTTCTTCTTGTTATTGTTGTTATTAGTCAACGTAGTTATGCTAATAGTAACGCTGATTATAGCGTCCACAATCCTTGAGCTCGTGAATTGCATGTTCCCTCCTTGTTTTGACTAACCACATAGTGGCATTCTTGCTATTCATGTGCATAACTATTCACACGATCTCTCGTCAGATATGTTCTTATACATGGAAGGATTGTGAAGGGTAACAAATGTTTGTTTTACAGGCGATCTGCTGCTGCTTCTGTTTTCTGTTGAGGTGGCTCCTTACAGGATGGTACAAATGAAGCTGCGACACTAGAAGAGCTATTTCACTTTGGACGAACATCAAAGGAAAGAGTAACTTAACACTGCATGAAGAGGTTTTCCTCTTATGAAGAAACGACGATGCCAGCCATACTTGGAAGAAATTGATAGCCTATATATTCAGGTATGGCTGTTGAAATGAACCAATGTTGTTGGATCTTGTAACCTATACTGAGTCCGTAGGAGAATTTTGTTAGAAACCGTGTTGGCACGGGTCATACTTAGTTTCTTTTCTTTTTTTTTCTTTTTGTCAGATTTTGATGTTGCAAAGCGTGTATCTTGGTAATTATGTCTGTTTCGATTATTTTTAACGCTTGGTAACATCTTTTAGAATCAGTAAATTGAAATCTTTGAATGCTCCTTTTTTAAGTCCTAGGACTTGTTAGATAGCTGAATACTTCAATTCCGTATCAAGTCACTCATTTATATTGCCTCTTTTTCTCACAAAATTAAATATTTAACATTACTGGGTACCAGGAATACAAGCTTTGATGCAGAAATCACTCGATGATCCATCCTGTTTTTCCTGTATATTGATTAAACTATTGATTTACATTCGTTCACTTCTCGTAAAAATAGCATGGGCTAGCCAGTTTTCGGACTAGTAATTCAAATATAGCCATAGTTTGCAAAGTCATTGAAAAATAGCCACTATTTTGCTGCAACACGGACCGATCCAGCATAATATACTGGAGATTGGTGTACCTATGTATGAACTTCCAGCATATTATGCTGGAACTCCAACACGCGAAAAGTTCCAACATAATTTACTAGAGATTGGACCACTTGTGTATGAACTTCCAGCATATTATGTTGGACCAGTATATTATACTGAAACTCCAGTATATTATGCTGGAATATTTTTCGAATTTTGAACAGTGTTTTCGTTCAAATTTATCTTTACATGAAAAGTGCCGAATTTCGATTACTTTCTAAACTGTGACTATTTTTCAATTACCACTTATAAATCTGGCTATTTTTAAATTTTTCCCTCACTTCTTTCGTATATACACATAACACAATGCATAGCCGGCCTGATTCTCTGTTACATGTCATGTCTGGTATACATGATTATACACATATTATATATGAATTACACATATATTATACATCCGCTTTTATTTTAAGTTTTAAGTGTTTGGGTGAGTGGCTAACCAACAATGCATTCAGCAATGTCATCCTATTGAACTCATTTGAGATTATAGACACAAGTCATTCAAAGAAATGCACTTAAAATCATACTTGCACACTGCAATTGCTCACAATGAAATATTAGCATAACCATGTACTTTCATCAAACCTTCTAGCGATGACTTTGAACCCATCAACAACTCACTGTCATAGTGAAGCATTCCAGTTTATTGCTATGCACGAAAATAAACGGAAAGCAACAAACTCAAGATATTTGTTTTTGCTAGGAAACAGTAAAACTTGTGTATAAGTACTTGGAGTACAAGCTTGAATAGAACAGGATGCCATTACTTCATTAGTTGACGAGAAGTCGAGAACTTCTCAAATTACAGGATGATCAAAAGGCCTTACACTTCAATTTTCTACAGAGATTCTATAAACTTAAAGCTAACATTCAAATTTCTTCCTGATGATCCGAAATGATACTCTCTCATACTTAGCAAGGTGAAAATCTAGTCGGTATCCATTTTCTCTTCCTTCTCAATGTTTTTGCCTGACCATAGCTTGATTGTTCGATCATGAGATACAGTGACAATATGTTGCCCATCTGCATCAAATAGAAGAGAAATAGACAAATAAACATACGCGAAATGTGAAGCAAAGGTTTGAGATTCGAGAAATATTAGCATTTTCTTTTGGCACCGGGTGAGGTAGGATGGGATAAGCCAAATTCATGGATAATATTAGACTCTGCACCCACAGAAACTACGAGCAAGGAAATGTCAATTTTCTGCTTTCCATCCCCCAAAAAATAAATGTCATCATCATTTGCTATTGAGCCTTGACTCATTAGCTTCCTGATTCCTGAACAATGAAATTTATTAAGAGACCTACAAGCCTCATTCGGTGATTACGACCTCAAAAAGTTTCAAGTTAAGCTGAACAGGTTATTGATTAAAACTAAGAGAAGCAATGCAAAACAGATTCCAAACAAACTTAAGGGACCAGCATTAAATAACTAAATTCCTATGAAGTGATAGCTGAAAAGCAGAGAAAGTAGCAAATACTTCACATTTTTTCAAATGACTCCTCGGGTACGAGGCATTGTCAAAACACCAGATTTATTCATATAATTTTCTGGGTCCTGCTTGGAAAAAGTCAGAGGGCAGGGCATTTCAAGAATGTAAATCTTGAGCAAGTGCCAATGTACCAAATTATAAGGCATGTTTAACGTTGAAACATTAGTACAACCATAACAGAAGATGAGGACAAGATTTGGTCCAATAATCAGAGATCAGCCTTAGCATCAAAAGTGCGCTATGACATATAATTGCAATCATGAGGCATGACATCTCAGACTGAAAACAGAACTAACACCAATAGCTACAGAGTCTGTCAAGTCCCAGATTATTATATGATTTGGTCCAATAATCAGAGATCAGCCTTAGCATCAAAAGTGCGCTATGACATATAATTGCAATCATGAGGCATGACATCTCAGACTGAAAATAGAACTAACACCAATAGCTACAGAGTCGTCAAGTCCCAGATTATTATATCGCTGTGTGACTTAGAAAGTATATGAGACAATTCTATTGAGAGGAATTGCGGGTTTACTACCAATGATGTAAAATATAAAATAAGCTACAGCCATACACTTCTTAGATTCCTTGAAGATACTGTTTCACTCCTTGAAAAGGTAAGAACAGTTTGAACTTCAATGGAACTTACCTCCCGCTACATCCAATGACGTGACTTTTGCTTCATGACCAGATAGTGTCTTCACCGGTTTGAAATCCCTTGATGACCATACCTAAAATATAAGTTTAAGATTGAAGAACATAAGCATAAGCAATAAAATAAAATCCAAAAAGCAGCACAATCATAAAAAGACTAAACTATACCTTAGCCGTCGTATCGTAGGACGCTGTAACCAAAAAGTATCCCTCCTGAGGTTCAAATTTAACTTGAGAAATAAGATTGGAGTGAGCAGGTATGATGTACAAAGATTTTCTCTGCCTTAAGTCCCAAATACGGCAGGTATTATCTTCACCACCACTTGCCAAATGATAACCATTGGGAGAAAAGCTGACACCGAGAACCTGGAACCAATAAATAAAATAAGTAATAGAATTCATTTTCTATGTCTTTTCATAATCCCTAAAGCATATGAGGAAAAAGGATATCACATATCAAAGGAGGACTCACCGGTTTAACATGACCTTCCAGAGCAAGAATACTTCGTCCAGTCCTTAAATCCCACACTCGAACAAGTGCATCCAGCCCACATGATGCCACCAATGAACCATCATGGTGAAACGACAATCCATACACACTCCTACTGTGACCTTCTTGCAAAAGCAACTCTTCACCACTTTCTACATCCCATAATCTCCAAGTTTTGTCAAAGCTAGCTGTGCCCAAGTACTTCCCACAAGGATGGAAGGCAATCCGAGCTACACGGTCCAAATGTCCCTCAAATGTCCTGAGAAGAGACCCTTCCGAGTTCCATAACTTTGCAGTCTTATCAGCAGATGCAGTAGCTAAATAATTGCTTGTTGGAGAGAACACAACATCAGTAGCTCGTTCAGTGTNCGTCCTGAGAAGAGACCCTTCTGAGTTCCATAACTTTGCAGTCCTATCAGCAGATGCAGTAGCTAAATAATTGCTTGTCGGAGAGAACACAACATCAGTAGCTCGTTCGGTGTGACCCTTTAGGGTGGAAAGCTTTTGCACTTGAGGCATACTCCATAACTTTGCAATTCCACTCAGAGAACTAAATACAGGAAAAAAAGAAAAGCCGTCATGGTGCTGCTTGAATAAATCCAATACTCATAATCGCTACAGACACTAATAAAAGCGTGGCAGCATTTGCCAACGGGGACATAAAATCCCACTGTCCAGTTCATTTGGTAAGACATTGAATCAATCCAAGAACATCCAACTGTTAGATTTAATATGATAATCTCTGCAAAAAAATTAAAGCAGCAAATGCTAGTATGTTACACTAATATGAGTCAGTAAAGGTGAAAAAATAAGTTCCAAATAGAACAGAATCAAACATTTACAAGTTTTAAGTGCATGAATCTATGCTGAAAATCTGCAGCTACCCAACAAATAACCAGTCATATATCCTACCCACCCCACCTGCGAAGCCCCCATCCCCAAAAGAAAATAACGAGGAAAAAAGCACCCTCAAAAGAAAATTATGGTCAGGTAAAGCAAGAGAGAGAAGTACAGAAGATTACCAGGTAGCAAGCATCTTTCCATCATGTGAAAGCGAGCATCCCCAAAGGGGTCGATCGTCTCCAATTTCACTGCAATCAAGGGCGAGGCTCCCTGCTTGCTTCAAAGCCCAATCAACCTCTGCATCCACATCTTCATCTGGATCGTCCCTTTTCCTCCTTGCGCGGTGGAGACGTAAGGCTGACTTAACTAAAGAATATTTTGCAATTTCTACCCTTGCATCTAAAAGTGTTTTTGATCCTTCAGTGTAGAAGGGGTACTGAATATCCTCCTCCTCTGCTGGTGCAGCAGAAGCTGCAGCTTCTTCATCCTCGTGCGCTTTCATCAGCTTTTCCAGCTGCCCTTCTGCATCAAGCCTTGCCATAAGCATCCGCAGACGGTCCCTTCTTTCCATCTCCCTTTCTCCAAAGAGAGTTATAGGCTCACCAAGCCTTCGAAGGCGAGCCCGAACAGCCATATCATTTGTAGGAACAGCTAGCGCAGCTGCACGTCGCTTCATCAGAAGCTCCTGCACGGCTTTCTCCTGCCTCTCTCTGACAAGTCTGCTCTCCTCGGATATCTCATATTCTTGAGCTGAGCCCCCAGTACCACGATCAGATCCCATTTCTTCATCAGAATCTGAATCGCTCGCTCGCACTTCTCCATTCTGAGCTACTGGAGGCCTAAGGATAGGTGGACGACCAGGCAACGGAGCTAATGGGGGAGGAATAGGGGTAGGGACTGCAGGCCGTGGAGCAATTGCAGGCACAACTGGAGGAAGGATAACTGTTGGAGCAACCGGTGGAGTGACAGGTGGAACTGGTTGAAGATTTATCGCTCCTATAGCATTAACCATAGTCGAATTATCACCAACTAGAGTCGAAGGTTCTTCCGTTGAAGCAGGAATTTCATCCTCAGCGTCCATACCCTGATCAAAGAGAAGTCCAAACAATGAACACATAAATTTAGGTAAACAGAACCATTCACTTCAGACATCAGTCAGCAATAATATAAACCTACTTGCTGTCTGAGAAGTTTAAGAATTTATTTAGTTCAGATTATGCCCTATCTATATTTTTCCAGAATATCTAGTTGGTCACTTCTCTTTGATTTATGCAATTCATCCCACAGACAAAATAAAGAATTCCCAACTCATCTCCCTCAAGTTTCAGTTCTTTTGAGTTTTGACAGAATTTGTTAAACTAATCAGCTAAATGAACACTTGTGCAGCATATTTAAAGGAACAATAATGCTCAATGTTCAGATCAACTGTAGGAAGTAGATGGAACAAGCTAAAAGTTGCACCAAAATGGTACATGACAAAGATTCATAAAAAGGAGGGGGGAAAAAAGAAAAATGGGAGCAAGCAGTCTAATTTTCAAGATGAATCAAAACTGAGAGAAACACTTTACAAGGGATATTAGAGTGGCATGTATTGGACAAGCGCGGTAAATGACAAACATCAGGGTCCTACTAAGATAAGCCAATATCAAAACCTTAATAGGAAAAAAAAATCTTGAACAGGCTAATTTACATCAATATTAAACTTAGTTCTCAATTACTACCAAGGCCCCTAATTACCTAACCCAAAACAAGAAGAGATAACAAAAACAAAGAAGCAAAAAAGAGATTTTTCCATTACAAGTTCTCACTTAGAATCAACAACATGGCTGTGATCCACCCACCAACTGAATTTAGGCAAGGAGACTTGATACTTAAATTATTAAAATAATAAAACATTACTTATAATGCAGCATTCAAATACAAACAAATAAGAAAAACAACAAACCATTATTAAACTACCAACTATTCCTCCCAAAAAAAGTACTTACTCAGAAAATTCACAGTAAAAATTCATTCTAAAAAATAATTCACAGTAAAAATTGGGATAAGTATTGTTCGTAAAATACTACAATCTTAATTATTATCTTACCTAAAAAAATGTGTAATAAACCAAATCTTAACAAGCACACTGACAACAGACAATGTAACAATAGATTCCAACAGACGCAATTTACTAGAAAATATACAACAAAATCACGATAACAAGAGTGAAGAGGGGAAATAAGCTGTAAAGGGAACTTCTTGTATAAATTTTATTACCTTATCAAAAAAAAACTGTGAGGGAAATACGCAATAGAGAAATAGAAAGGAGATGAGAGACCGAGAAGAACCAAGAAAGAGGAGGAAGATGATGGAAAAAAGAGGGAGAAACTGTAAGGGAGGTGAGGGGTTTTAGAGAGTTCACAATACAATAGCTTGCCCTTTTTTTCTACCTTACTGTTATTTAGCTATTTTCTAACCCGAGTCCGACATGTAATTTGCCAATTTCCCATCCATGTCCTCCAATGGGC